GACCCTGGTATCTCTTTATGTTTTTCTATGGTCCCATCTCTCAGCTTCCCCTATCTCCTGAGGAGAGAGGTTCAGATACCCTTCCCCTGCAAAACATGGCTTGGCCCCCCACTTTTCATTTCTTTTTTAAACTCCCAGGACTCAGAGGCATGCAGATGGAGTATTTCACAGCGAACTCGGCAAGATGAATGAAAATGCCTATGTGCAGCAATTAGTCAAATCTCTTATGGGCCTCAATCAAAGGTGAGACAAACTGATCTCTTCTTGTTTTGGGCAAATATGACCTCTGACCTCCAAGATGGCAAAAAGATTGCAAGCCTCTCTGCTGCTTTTCTGGGGATCCCTGACTTAACTGCTGCGAAGTACATATCCTCCACTCATTCCTGCCAAAACATGGAAATGAAGCAGTGTAGTGAGGTCAGCACAGTCCTGAGCATGTGCCTAGAGCCATTCTCAGGTTCTGTCTCAGATGGGTTTTTGCCATGTACTCAGGGCCATGCTAAATCAGCTATGCTGCCTAATATCTGGGTTTTGGCACGTGCTAAGCTGGAGAGAGCAGACAGGGGCTCATGGTAGTGCCAGTGCAGAATTGTACACAGATATTGTGTAGACTGGATCTTGACAACACAGACAGATACCAGCAAGGGAACTGTATAGACTTCTATGAAATCTATTCCTGATCCAGGGGCCAGAACCTTGGGTGCCCCTTGGCTTTCTGGTCCCGCATATCCTCCTGACAACCCCCTCAAGAAATCAGCCCCCAACCTAACCTACTGCCATCTTCGGCCTGGCCTCACACCCATTAAAAAGGCTGAACTAGGGGTAGCTTTGTTGATCCAGAATATCCAGAGTGCCCTTCCTACCCTGGCATACTCCCAGTGAGAGAGGGGCTAACAAAGGTTGCCAGAAAACCAGAGGGCAATTCCTTTCTACAAGGGGATCCTGAACTGCTGTTTTAGAGCAGCTTTAAAGTCTGCAGGTCAAATCATGGCTCCCAGTGAGCAGCCAGGGTAGTGCAAAGGGAGGGGCAAAAGGCAGAACCCAGCCAAAACACGGCAGGAGCCAAACTCTCATATGCAGCCACCTCTGACACGAGAGAGCTCAGGTGCCCACCGTGCAGGGCTGGCTCCAAAAAGGGGGAATACAGAGCAGGGAGGGGATGGTTGGTGGATGTGGGGCACTGGGTGGTGTGTG